GAGACTTCCCCGGTTTTCCACCAATTTCTGGATGCAACATACCAACTGCTGTACCAGTATCCCACCCGATTCGAATTTAGCGAACGATTCCTGCGGCGTCTCCTCTTTCATCTCTATTCTTGCCAATATGGAACGTTTCTAGGCGACAACGAAAAGGAACGCAAAGAACTCAGACTCAGCGAGCGCACCCGGAGTGTATGGGATTATTTTCTCGCCCGCAAACCAGAGTTTCTCAACGCAAAATACGACCCAGTCATCGACGACAACGTTCGCGGCAAAGAACGCCTCATCTTTCCCAGACCCGACGAGGTGAGATGGTGGAATGAACTCTTCGGCCGCACGGACGATGAAATGAATGCCAAACCTCAACCCCTTATCAAACCCCAAAGTAATGGTGCCGGTGAGGCGGGAGTGACCGAACTATGGACGTCTGTCTCGGACGCTGGTGGATCACAAGCTGGCTACTCAACCTCTATGTCGGCGCCCGTTTCCAGGGCTAGGACCCCTGTGCTGGTGGGTGTAGAGACAAGTGAAGGGAGTGTGGGATTAACGAGCTCTCTTTCTGCGAAGTTGAGTTCGAAAATGCATGAGTCGGCGGCAGGCGGGGCGAGAATTCCTGGTCTATCTACCCCTGCTCTTGACATGTCGCGGTCGGGATCTCGGGCTGCATCGCCAATGCCGAGAGAATCTTTTTCGAGATCAAGGACGCCCGTCCCCGTTGCGCCGTCGCCGAAACCCGAATTTAAAAGTTCCAAATCGCCGCTGGACGAGGTCATGATAAAGAAAGACCGCGACGACGATGTGAAAACAAGCGACCGCCTCCGAGCCGTTAAGGACGACTCGTCTGCGTCGAATATCCTTTCTACATCAGATCAGAGCACGGTCATGATTCACCATTTCCCCGATGAGCAGCAGGCGCAGTCAGTCCCGCTCCCGGCGAGTCCAAGTCTGTCTCCTTCCGTCAAACCGCAGGAGCTGGGTCAGGATAGGGAGGGGAAGAGAGAAGCCAACCAAAAGCAAGATCAGACCACGGAAGAAAATAGAGATATCGAACGAGATGGATCTAATAGCAAGATTAGAGACCCTGCAGAGACGTTGGCGGATGATCTGGATCCCTTGGGCATCGGTGAGGCTAAAGACATTCCGATGGCGCAGCAGAGTCTGTCAATGTCTATGCGGGCGAGGAGAAGAGAGCAGATGGAGCTGTTGATGAAGTGATTCTCTCATGGCCGGGAATGCTTTTGGTGATCTTTTGGGATCATGCGGGACGAAGAAAATAAGAAGGGGGTCTCATGCACGCGAACTTTGAAGGACATACACGGCGTGGTGGTGTTCAGGATGAATCGGCCCTAGTGTGCATGATTGCGGCGCGTGCTTGGGGGGGGGTTTCGGTTCCGAGGACAAGGCGCCACAGCACAGAACGACGTTTCAGGAGAGGCAAGGAGAGAGGCAGTGCTACGGTGATAGAGCAGCTTCCTTCTATTCCGAATCACGGGCGGCCGATGCGCTTGTGTAGAAGTTTGGCCGAGCCAGAGCTTGATTGAGGCTGCCAGCCAGCATAACGTTGCAACATTGGATGGTTTATTTAGAGCATACAAGTAACGGAAACAGCCAGGCAAAGATGAACACTGAAGCAATAGAGGGAGAGTGGTTGCTTTATCACCCGTTCAAATGTTCATTCTCCTTTTGCCTGCCCATGAGGAGACGTTGCCAATTGTTCCATCCGCTTTATGCTTGCAGAGTGAGGACAAGAAGCAATAATCCAACCTGGGTAGGTCAATTTATCGATGCCCAATCGGCATGTTCTCGGGGGGAACAGTGGTGTCAACGGCTTTTCACCTTGCGTCTCATCTCGTGCAGCAAAGTGATTGAGGCCAATCATGAGAAAAGCGTTGAAGACGGCGATTCACGCCATTAGAGACTCGGTGGATGGGAAGAAGGAGAATGAGACTGTGAGTACGTCTTGCCCCCTACACGCCGCACAGGAAGGAGAAGAAAGGCGCGAAGAGAGAAGAGTGAGAGGTGAGAAGTAAGAAGAAGTGAGTAGTGTTGCGCTGGCGAGGTTGATGTCGCGAGCTTCACTTCACCTGCGCCTCCTTCTTCATCTTCTTCATCTTCATCTCGACCGCCTGATACAGCTCTCCTCCACCTCGAACCTCCACGACGGACGAACCCCTAAACCATTTTGTCCCTTTGGTCGTCGCCCCTATCAATTCTTGGGTCCCCACACAGCACTTACACTGGGGATTCCCAGCAGCTTCCACACCCTCCATGTCCGACCGCCAACAAAGTCGACCGACCCCTAAGGACGTCCTTCGATATCGCTATCAGCATGGCACCAACCTAGGAAGTATTTTTATTTTGGAGCAATGGCTGTTCGGGAGCATGTACGATCAGGGCGTTTCAGGGAGCAGTGAACTTGACGCGGTTGTTGCGTGAGTCTCCTTGTTCTGCCTCGCCCATTCCTACCTGTTTACAGTTCATTTGCTCAGATGCATTAATGCCCGTGGCCTCGATGCCACTCGCCAGAAATGGGAGGCTCACTGGGCCAACGCCCTCACCGACGCAGACCTCGATTGGCTCGCCAATGCCGCACACTGCAATTCGATTCGATTGCCAATCGGCTATTTCACATTGGGTCCAGCATTCTGTGCCAACACAGCCTTCGCTAGGGTACCTTCCCAAGTCTATGTCAACGCATGGCCCGCTGTGAAGCGCCTCGCCCAGCGATGTCTGCAACACGGCATCGGCGTCCTCATCGACCTGCACGGCGTTCCTGGCGGCGCTAATCATGAATCCCACTCGGGCACGAGCAGCGGTAAGGCCGAGCTCTGGGGGAATTCATTTAACCTTGAACTTGCTACCCGATGTCTGACGTTCGTCGCGGAAGAGACGGTTCGTGACCCACAACTAGCGGGCGTTATCGGTATCCAAGTTTGCAACGAAGCCGTATTCGATCCGCCCGGAATGTACGAGTGGTACAACGATGTCATACAACGGATAGCTGCCGTGGATGCTTCCTTACCTATCTACATCAGCGATGGATGGGATTTGAGCCGCGCGGTACGGTTCACTCGAGCATACAACAATCCCGGTACGCCGAGATGCCCGGTGTTCGTAGATACACACAAATATTGGGCCTTTGATGCAAAAGATACCTCTCGATCGCCCTATGAGATCATCGAACAAGTCAAGACAGAGCTTCATGAACTTGATTCGACTCTTGTCGGGGATGTCTTCTCCCATCAGGCCGCTGTGGCAGTATACATTGGCGAATACAGCCTCGCCTTGGCGCCGCAAACATGGAGCAGAGCCCCTTCCGATCAGAAAGATGAGCTGATGCGGCAGTTTGGACTGGCTCAGAGTCAAAGATGGCAGAGTAGAGCATCGGGGTCGGCGTTCTGGACTCTCAAGATGGACTGGATGCCTGGTTGGGACTGGGGTTTCAAAGCATCAAGCGATAGTGGACAGGTTGTGTGCCCGAAGCAGTTTACGTTTACGGTTCAACAGATAAAACTCAGGCTTGCGCAAGCGGATGAGAAGAAGAGCCAGCTTCTACACGACGCATTGAATGGGCATATCGGGTACTGGACAACCACAAGTCCAGGAGGAAAATTCGAGCATTGGCGGTACAGCGATGGCTGGGATCTAGGATGGACAGATGCCCGACAGTTCTTCGCTGCACGGTTGGAAGGACAAATTCCTTCTGCCACTGGGTCCGGTCCTAATTCCGTTTCTCCGACCGCGACATCAGCTGGAGGCATGGGCTTGGATGGCACGACTGCCAGTCATGAAGCCCCCATTATGGATGAGAACCTAACCATAGGGGCAGACATGATTGGTGCGTTGGATCTCTGGATCCTCAAGCGCATGTGTCAGGAGGGAGTTGCAGATTCACAGAAATGTCCGTTCGGTTGGGAATTCGAGCACGGCTTCCGCAAAGCTGTGAGCGATTTCCAGGGTGTTGTTTGTGCCTGAAGAGCGCAAGAACCTATAAAGGAGGTGTTGCACAGAATTCCTGGTTGTAATTGGGATATCAGACCTTTGAGCATGGGAACCGCTCTGGACACGATCTTGGGTCATCGTGCTCGACGCTGTCGGCTCGTCAGAGAAACGGCCAGACCGTCCTCTCAACACTTACAATTTAGAGCGACAGCTTCATCGCCCTCAAAGACAAATCAACGTATCGAACAGTCCTCTACCGTCTTTCCACCGCCGCGAGTCCACAGATTCTCTGCTTTATCAAGGTGATGATAGAAAATGACGCATGAACGTCCTGTTACGGCGATGCCCTCTGACGCGCTCGGATTTGGAACTCTCAGGGAACTCAGACTCTCCGCGGCTTTTCATATCCCCTCCTTCAGCTGTGCTTGCTTTTTACTGACTTACCACTGCGGGCATGAATGGAACCTACCTCCAGCAACAGGACTCACTTCGCCCGAATCTCTAGGTTCTCGGCTCTTGATGTCAATAGACACATTGCATCCTGCCTACTTACCTTCCAAGACCACTGATTCCCATTTTCTCCCAGTGCCAGTCTCTTTTCTCTGTTTAAGGCTTTCGCAAGTCTGGTCGATACGTTGTGGCTCAAGTTAGAGCCTGTCACCAGTCAGGTGGCCGATGAGAACGGGTGGTGTAGGATAGAGCTGCTTGGGGATTCGGTTTTGTATAAACGAGATAAGCAGACAGTTGGTTGTCCCCTTTGTCATGTTCCAAGCTGACTGGACTGCCGTGCAGGTTTCCTGCCATCCGCAACCATGGACAATACCATGTGGAAATTGGGAAAGTCAGATGAGGTCAAGGCGGCCGGCAGTGGCAGCAGGCTAGACTGGAGAAAAGACAGAGCAAAAGAAGAAAGGAAGAAAGGCCTGGGTGAGCTCTTGTGAACTATCGAGGTGCAGCAGAAGTGGGCTTTTAGGTGAAATCTGAGGAAGAAAAACGGAAAAACGTCTCGTTGCTGTCTACGGCAGCGATGTAAAAGGGGGATTTATGCCCTTGATCTACTGTCCCGACTTGAGCTGCTGCGATCCTCTCGTCAGCTGCCTTCAGACCTGAGCTGGCCTCCGGGACCCCTTGCATACATTGCAGGGACATATCTCATTGCCGGCGCATGTCGTGCAGTTGCAGACCTTGGCCCGGTGACAGCGGCCAGTGCGTTTCGCTTCAGACCGCAGGCCTTTCTTGTCCAGGACGTTAATCAGGTCTATGGGAAGGCGTTGCAGCCGCCTCAGTCTCTGGTCTGGAGGGCTGTTTCCTTGCTTGCTGGCCTCTGCGAGCAGCTCGACTGCTTGGATGATGGGTCGGAACCAGTGCCGAAAGTCGCCATTCCAGTTGACGGCGCCGTACGGGTTCTGTCCTCCAGCCGCACCCCCACCACCGCCACCAGCAGCAGCATCGACATGAGTGTCGGCCGAGTCCTTGAACTTCTGATAAAAGGATGCGTAGCCCAGGCACATCAGCTCGCCGCCCTTGTCGACCGTCAGGACCTCACCGATGGCGATCTGCTGGCCCTGCCACAACATGAGCGGGGGGCCGTCGTCGAGATACTGGTAGGTGCCGAACTCGTGGGCGATGCCGCTCAGCACCCTGGTCAAGTCCTTGTTCGCCTCGTCGGTGGAGAAGCGCAGAAACTGGGCCTGTCGACGCAGAATGAAGGTCCACGAGAAGAACTGGTCGACCAGAAAGGCCGTGCGGGAGAGGACGTTGTCTCGTACATGGTCGTTGTCGCCGTCATCGCCGCGCTGGAACAGGAAGATGGCGAAATTCTGATCCACAAGGTTGAACAGCCTGGACTGCAGGTTCTGGCACGCGAGCAAGAGCGGATCTCGGTATTTGGATATCAGCTTCTCAGCCTTCGTTGCGCCACCGCTGCTCGTCCGATGCCCATTTGTACCACGCCGACACGCCGGCCGTGATCAACGTGCCGGCGAAGGATATGGCAGCGATGACGACTGAGACGACGTTGCTCATTTTACTGTTCTTCTCCTTTTATTTTTGGTCTGCCTTTTCTTGGTGTTTTTCTTCCTTTTTCTTTTGGAAACAGCTTAGCTCTTTCAAGATCGTTGGAGCATCTCCAGTTCGGTAGATGAATAGATAGCCACCCTGCTTGCCTGTCTGCTTCTGGAGGCACTGATCAACGAAGTTGTGTATTTTTCTTTCCCTCTTCTGTCAGTAGCTGGGTAGCCTAAGAGAAAGGGGGGAGGGGGAATGCCAATCAACCAGTCCGTCAGTCAATTCATCAATCTGCCACTAGTCGCTAGCTGCGTAGTCGTCCTCGCTACAGAGCCTTACATGACTGCTACATACGAGGGCATGTAGGCAGGCAGCGAGAGAAGGTAGGGCTTAAGTACCAAGTATCAGAATGAAAGCATGGTTGGCTTTTTTGTGAGGAAAAAAGGAAGCGTAGGTGGTTTGTTTTGGGAGAGGGGACCATGATCTTAGACATGAGCACGAGCATCGGCTAGAATTCTATCAATGTAGCTTGCCATACCCTGCACCATGCCAATTAGAACTCGTATGTCCTCCGCATACCGGACGTCGAGATGAGTTTTGGACATTATGTATAGGGCTTGAAGGGTTGTAGGATAGGTGGCTAGCTGGCGGCGATAGCAACAGTAATACTAGCGATGGTGATGGTGATGGTAGTGATCGCAATAGTGTGGTGATGCGGCTGAACCTGACAGGGCTTGCCACTCGTCCTCGTACGTAGCTGCGGATGGCTTCTGTAAAGGGGTTTAACGGGTGTCTTCTCCCGATTGTAGACTGCATCGACGAGCTTTACCTACCACGTCCGTCGTACCGCGGTTGAAACGCCATTGTTTCGTACGAGGCCTACCGCTTGTGTCGATTGCGAGGTTTCTACTCCTATGCCGCAGAGCCTCATGTTGGCGACTAGGCTGAGACGGGAGAGTTTTTCAATATGGTGCGGCTGAAAGAAAGAAACGGTGCCTAGACCATCCATGCAGCCGGAGGTGAACGGCCACATTGAGCGTGGAGATTAGACGAGTGGCGGGTAGGCAGGCCAAACGTAAAAGAAATCTTACATGGTCTCTGGAGGTGTCCAACATCTGTTTGGCATCTTTACCTTCGCGCCATTAAATGGCGCTATCAGCCAACTTTCTCTTCGTTCCGGAATTGCAAGTCGCCCTTCGTGGACAACCGGCCATAACATTGTGTTAGAGTTTCTGATACATGTCAAGGGACAGGAACGTCCAGGTATGTACCCAAGCGCGAACAGGGATCTGTCACCCGGGGAAACGCCGACGAGCATCAAAGGAGTTATGAACAAAACGTCCCGCTCTATGCGAAGGGTGTCCTAGTCGTGGCTGCAAAATCCAAGACGAAGCACTCCATGCACATCGTGGTGGTCAAAGACAAGGCAGCAAAGGTATAGCTCAAAAAAAAAAGGAGGGTAGGGAAGACGTAAGGATTGGCTCACGGACCTACCCATGAATTTCAAGCTACCTTCCAAGCTCCTGTCGTATATCACTCAAAAACATCACCAATGAAGCTGTGCAGCTTGCCATAGCATGAGAGATTTTGATGGCGCCCTTCTTTTGCCAAGGATTCTTTGTTCACGCTCGGTCCACCCACACGCATGCAGCCGGGAAAGGGGAAGCCAGATGGCAGCACAGAGCGCCTTACCTTTCTCTGCCTCCATTGGATTTTGGCTGTGTCAAGGCAGAAGGTTGCCGCGTCCACCTCCAAGTTCGGCCATTGGTCCGATCTGTTTCAGTGAGCTTGTGAGTGGTTTGATGGATGGCGACGGCGAAGGCAATGTCGAGATAAGAATACCTGCTTCCCTTGCTTAAACCGGGCAATCCACTCACGTTCGCCTCTGAGGCCGGGGCGTTCAGCCACCAAATGGTTGTGGAGGACCCCAAGACTGTTGCCTATCCCGCCGGCTTCCCCGCAAAGGGTTCGCAAAGTCAGCCTTTCAACGTCGAAGACGATGTGGGTATCAGATATGCGGTTTTGAGAGAGCTCGCAGAGTGGCTGAAGAGGGGCGAAGAAACAACGGAGGGATGCCTGATTGATAGTGGTAGCGGCGACTTGGAAGCAATCTTCGTACTGTGAAATATTGAACAAGGTGATCGTGAGGGGAAATCACTAAGAGTGTTTGGCGATTGGCGTCGGTGGCCACCAGTGTAGAACAGGAACTCAGAAAAAGGCCCCCTGAAGATAAGGTCTCCAGACCAAATATTGTGACTGTCGGATATTCCAAGTTCCTACAAGCATGGCTTGAGATGTCCAGGCTCGGAGAATCAGGATTTTCTTCGGGATTGTTCTCAGGTATTCCCACCCTCGAAACTCGAAGACCCTCCGCGGGTGGGAGTGCTGTCGCTCCAGGGGCAGATCAACTGCGTATCCATTGTCGCAAGTGCACTGTAGTATCATGTGATGAAGGTTACAATTGCATGCTCGCCTCCACCGAGAAGTGAGAGTATCGCCGTCCAAACCATTTCGGAACCATTTCGATCCATCTCGCCATTTGCCACTACCAGGCATCTTCTCACCGTGACACAATATACTCCGAGCACAACCAACGTGGCGAGGGCGGCTTTCAACCTACTACCCACCTCGCTAGAGATTCATCTGACAGACGTTGAAGCTGTGAAGATACCATAACCGGCCAGGCGTTAACTCAGGCACGAGACTCGAGCGAGAAAAAGACCGCATCGCCCGAGGGAATAGAATTGACCAATAGACGATACCCGTGGGCTCGGTTGGACAGTCGCGCGCGAGATGAGAACTCCACATCTTACCCAATAGCCTTCATGTCCATGAATTGATGCACACGTAAACCGTGTTCTCAGCCACGAGGCAACCGCGGACATAGACCGTTAAGGGAAAGAGGGAGCAGGAAAAACGGCTTCAAGTAACGGGTATGTCGACCGGTTCGGAGTCCTGCCTGCAACAGTCTGCACAAAACAGGCATCAGCCACAGACGTGGCGAGTGAACCCGTCAAAAGCTCGACTTTGCAAATCTCGCCCTAAGCTAATTTTTGTGTGCTTTGATGGGTTGCCCTTTGGGTTGGGCTGCTTGAACACGACAGGTTGGGTCTCGAAGCCTCTGCTAGGTTGAAATGAGGCTGAAAATGATCGAGTCTCGTGGAACTTGCAGCAAGGACTCTTTGTGTCACAAACCATGCATGCCTTGGTGGCCTATTGGTCGTGTTGACCTGGGGCTTTGGAACAAAGATAACTCTCGGCTGGACGTCCTTGGGAACCGATTTGGCGCTTTGCGAAGAGAGCTTGATGCTGATAGGCTACATTCCTCCTTGGGGGTCATGTTCTGGATGTCTGCTCAATCAATTCGAGGTTGGGCATCCACGAACACGACATTTGGAAGGAGCCAGAACCTCTGCCAACGTCGGATTCGCTGTGAGACTAAAGCACAATAATGTTCATCCTGGTTTGTGATCCAATTCTGTGCCAGGCGCGAACAGAGATATTTACATGTGATCGACATGAAAGTGTGACATGCAAGGAAGAGGGCGGTCATGGCTTCATTTGTGGGGTTTTGATTGGCGAAGGAGGCGCTTTATGACATGTCCGCAAAGATTCGAGAAGGTGTCTCAGGAATCGATCGGTTGCACAGCTTTTGGGTGGCGCATGGGACTGCTTCCTGGTTAGTCTGCATGTCTGAACGATTGCCTCGAGACATTTGAGGGTTGTTCAGGCAAGAATTTGGAACAGGCGCCTGAGATCGGTGCGGGGTTATGGGCGAGATCGAAGATGCCCGCCAAACCCCGAGCTCAGACAGCCTCAGATCGCTGAGCAGTTCTCGCAACCCTCCAACAAAACTTCCGTGGGTATTGTCTTGGACCTTTGCCCAAGTCTGGTCCTTGATCGATCGTGTGGGATAACGCGTGGTGCGCGTGCTCGTAGAAGTTGGAAGATGGAAGGAAGGCTCCACCAATCATGAACAGGCACATCCTCTTTGGTCATGTCTTCTCTTTTCCTTTGTTCGGCGTCTGGACGGGTCTGGGGTGCGGTCCGCGTGGAGGGCCGCTCGGTTGGCTTATGGGTGGAGTAGTGCAGGGGCCATGGGGCTGTCAGGACTCAGGAAAAAGCTCCTCAGCGCCACGGATTCGCTGCAGTGGCTTTTTCGGCGCTTCGACTTGGATGGGTTGAACGGACAGAACCTGCTGAAAACCCCAGTTGAAGACACATCCATGGCCATCTGCGAGTTTGCCTAGGGACACCTTCCCATCGGCCTGGTCTAGTCATGCATTGGGTCTTTGCGACAAGTAAGTAGGAGGCTGTTTGGGCTGCGCCTCGCAAGCTAGATTGAATGGGAGATGGACACAATGGACAAAATGATGAATTTGTCCAATGCGACATCACCCATCTCTGTTTGAGTGGAGGCATGGGGGAAACTCATGCAGGCTCCCTCACCGTGGAGATGACTTTCGGTCAAGGGCCAGGCGTGACTTGTGGCACGACGTGGGCGAGTAAGAACAGGGTCACAAGCGTGGTCGAAGTTCCTGGTAGCCGGCACACAATGGCCAGCGATGTGCATGAATCAAAAATGGAGCTTCGTGGGGACCGGTGGGCGACCAGTAGAGAGTTGTGTTGGTGATGTGAAAGCGTGACACATTGCACACTGATACAAGCGGGCGAGTTGTTGGCGATCAGAACGTCAAATCAAAGTCATTTGGAGGGGGACGAAGCGATGGGGTTGTCGCCTGGCGTCACAAAGTGCCTTCGAAGCCGAAGCAGATGATGGGGAAAGGGTTGGTTGGAAGGTTGGTGATGAAAGGTGAGAGATACTGTACCGACTACTGGGAAGACAAGAGTGAGAGCAGCGGGACGGGTCAGCTGGAAGGGGATGGGCGACCACCGCAGTCTGTTCTCCGTCCGTCACTCCTCAGTCGCTGTTCTATCTTTACCTATGCCACCCATGTGCTGCCCCCCCCATGCCCCCCAATGATGCGGTGCAGTGGGACACGGCGTGTACTTGGTAA